CATGTCCCTCTGCTCTTTTGCTCAAGGCTGGTGTTCTACCACCTTGAGCCTCAGCTCTATTTCTGTTTTTTTTTTTTCTGGTAGTTAATTGGAGATAAGAGTCTCACACACTTTCCTGTCCAGGTTGGCTTTGAAGCAAGATCCTCAGATCTCAGCTTCCTGAGCAGCTAGGATTACAGGAGTGAGCCACCAGCACCTGATTTTCCCTATCTTTTATTAAAAATGCGTTTCCTTATTACAGTTTCATTCATGTACATAATGTACTGTGATCATATTAACCCTCATTTCCTCTCCTCCCCTCCTTCCTCTGGCTAGTCTTTTTTCTTTCTTGCCAAGTAGTCCCCCCCCTTCTTCTTCTTCCTTCTTCCTTCTCCTTCTTCTTCTTTCTTCCTCCTCCTCCTCCTCCTTCTTCTTCTTCCTTCTCCTCCTCCTCCTTCTTCTTCCTTCTTCCTCCTTCTCCTCCTCCTCCTTCTTCTCCTCCTCTTCCTCCTCCTTCTTCATTTGGCCAGTCCTAGAGCTTGAACTCAGGGCCTGTTCACTGTCCCTGAGTTTCCTTTGCTCAAGTCTAGCACTTTACTACTTGAGCCATAGCTCCAGCTCTGGCTTTTTCTGTTTATGTGGTACTGAGGAATCAAACCCAGAGCTTCATGCATGCAAGGCAAGCACTCTACCACTAGGCCACCTTCCCACCCCAAATAGTCCCTCTTTTACTTCCATATCTTAAAAAAAAATATTCCCTGTGTGCATATGGCAATTTGGATACTTTTCCTCTGGAGGAACCAATTCTTGGCCACTGCTCCAATTAGAGAAAAACAACCCCAAAGCTATCATGCCTATAGCTTCAGTCATTCTGCCTGTTGTGCATTTCCGTGTCTGTCTCATAGATATGATTCTGTCTTCAAGTCAACATGTAGCACTTGAGTTTTCCTTCCCTTATATTTTGCTTGTTATTCTCTGTATTTAGAAAAAAAAACAGAATTTTTGAAGTACAACTTACCATCTGTGTTGGTGTAAACATCTACATCCTTTTCATCACTGAGAAACTCTTTTTCTCCCCTAACTAGCCCCCATGACCTTCTCCACCTGCGGCAAGATTATTCTGGGCTTGGAATTTTCGCATTTCTGAATTCTCACTTTTATTATCTGTCAGAAGGAACTGGGGCACGTAATCCTTAAGCTGTTCTTTACCTTTAAGCTCATATTAAGCTGCTTAAACTTATCTTACACTTTGTAATTGGAAATTGTTTCTCCCTGGGAAGGAGACAGCAGTGAAATAGAGCAGTTACTGGCTCTGACTTCCTGCTGTCACCTGTTGATAGTTCAATGTCTTCCTGAGGCTGTGCTTTTCCTTTTCCTTGTTCCTCTTCTTTTTCTAAGTAACGTTTATAAAACAGAACTCCTTTAGGGAGACTTGAGTATGATTAGGAACTACGATGAAGGCTTTCTGAAGCCAGGATATTTGTCTGTCTTGTTTACCATTGTATTCCAGCAAGCTAGAATAGTATACAATACCAAATCCTATGGAATGCTATTTCTATCTTTTATCGTTTTTTTATTTTATTTTTTTTTATTTTTTGTCGGTTGTGGGGCTTGAACTTTAGGCCTGGCGCTGTCCCTAAGCTCTTCAGCTCAAGGCTAGCACTCTACCACTTGAGCCACAGTGCTACTTCCGGTTTTCTGGTGGTTTATTGGAGATAAGAGTCTTAATGAACTTTCCTGCCTGGCCTTGCTTTGAACCACAATCTTAAGATCTCAGCCTCTTGAGTAGCTAAGAGTACAGGTGTGAGCTACCAGCACCCAGCTATCTTTTTAAATATAATATGTCCTAACTTAACAACTGTGTTCCCTTTGTCTCTACTACTAAAAGTGCTATGGAAAGCTGGAGTATCACATCACTAATCCTACTACTTGGCAAGATGAGGTAGGAGAATCCCAACTTCAAAGCCCGTCTCAGCTTTATAATGAGAATCTGTCCCCATGAAAATGTGATGCTGGCCAGCCACACTCACATCTGTAATCCTAACTACTCAAGATGCTGAGATTCGAGGATCATGGCTCAAAGCCAGCCCATGCAGAATAATCCATTAGACTCTTACTTCTGGATTTTTGGTGGCTAATTAGAAATAACACTGTGGCTATAGTGGTAGAGCACTAGCCTTGAGCAAAGAAATGCTCAGGGACAACACCTAGGCCCCGACTGAGTTCAAGCCCTAGATCTAGTACAAAAAATGCTTATGGAGTTTAACTTTGTATTTGTACTCTTAATACATACAAATTAGATATAGTATCCATTATACCTATTGACATGTACAGTATCATACTATACCAGAAAACATGTTTACTAAGCCTAATGGATGCTTTAAAGCAAGGTAAAGAAAATCTTTGTCTTATATACTTTTTCCCCCATACTCATCATTAACTCCAACTATCTTTTAAGACATGATTCCACTGAAATATTCCTTATACGTTCAATTGTTTGTGGCAGTGACATTTCTGTCAAGGAACATTAGAAGAAGAATCCATTTGCCTTCCCTGATATTATATCACTTCTACTTGATTATTTTTAAGCCAGTCTTCTCCAGAGCCAATTTCTTAGCTTTTTATTTTCCAGGTTACATATCTACTTTAAAAATATTTTCCTCTTACCTTGTTGTTATTCTTCATTGTACCTTCTCAACTGTCTTGTGTCTTCCTGAGAATACAGCTGGACTAGAGGTGATTCAGATTTGTAGATGTTGCATTGAAGAATTGAATCCTTCTGTTTAGGATATAATTTGGTAATTTTAATTGATGACAAGCAAATAGACACTTTTTTGGGGGGGGGAGGTCTGGTTGTGGGGCCTGAACTCTAGGCCTGGGTGCTGTCCCTCAGCTCTTCAGCTCAAGGCTAGCGCGCTACCACTTGAGCCACAGCGCCACTTCCAGCTTTTTTTTCTTTTTGCTTATGTGGTGCTGAGGAATTGAACCCAGGGCCTCATGCATGCAAGGCAAGCACTCTACCACTGAGCCACCTTCCCAGCCCAGCAAATAGACACTTTTTAACCTATTTATTTATATTTATTTATTTATTTATTATTTATTTATTTTTGTCTTTCCATTGTGGGGTTTGAACTCTGAGCTCTTCAGCTCAAGACTAGTGCTCTACTACTTGATCCACACCTCCACTCCAGCTTTTTCTGCTTATATAGTGCTGAGGAATCGAACCCAGGGCCTCGTGCATGCAAGGCAAGCACTCTACCACTGAGCCACCTTCCCAGCTCCCTTCACCTAACTTTTTAGGATTCTTGTCCTGCTCTTTTTCCTTAATCTTTGAAGCACTATATTATCTTCTGCTTCTGAATTCAGAAGACCACATGTCTTGTGTGAATTTGGAAGCTTCTAACATTTTTAGTAATTTCCCTTTTGTTGTGAAAATCCTGGGGCTTGAACTCAAGGCCTGGCCACTGTCCTTGAACATTTTTGCTCAAGGCTAGTGTTCTACCACTTGAGCCACATCACCACTTCCAGCTTTTTAGTGGTTAATTAGAAATGAGTCTCATGGACTTTCCTGCCCATGTGGCTTTGAACCGCAATCCTCATATCTTAGCCTCCTGAGTAGCTAGGATTATAAGCATGAGCCACCAGTGTCTGGCTCCATTTCAGTAATTTCTTTGAGGGCTAAACCATACTGCATGTTAGATGCTGATAAACATAGGTACTTCTTTCAAATAAGTGCTTGTATCTTTTTTTTTTAGCGATATTTGAATTAAACTCAGGGTTTTGCACTTGCTAAGTAAGCAGTCTTGGCTTGCCTGATACTTTTTAGCACTTAAAGATAATGAAGTTAGCCAGCACCAGTGGCTCATGCCTATAGTCCTTGCTACTCAAGGGACTGAAATATCATGAAGCCAGTTTGAAGCTAGCCCGGGCAGAAAAGTCCTTGAGAACTCTTATCTCCAATAAACCACCAAAAGAAAAGCCAGAAGTAAAGGTATGGTTCAAATGGTAGAGTGCTAGTCTTGAGCAAAAAAAGCTTACGGACAGTGTCCAGTCCCTAAGTTCGAGCCCCAGGAGTGGTGATGATGATGATGATAATGATGATGATGATGATGATGATAATGATGATAAAATTTACATTCAGTAAGGACTCTACATTTATTCTCATATGGAGCCTTGCAGTAATTTGTTTAGGTTAATACTGTAATTTGATTAGGTTAATCATTTTATAAGTAAAGAAATAGAAAGTCCCAGTAATTTGCTTCGGATCACATAGCAACTAAGTGCTAGAACTAGGATTCAAAACCCAGTTTATATGACTCTGAATTATATATTTTTTTCATCCTTATTGCTCCCACCACTCTCTCCAATTAATTCCTTGATGATTTAATGAAAAATTACTTAGGAGCTAGCATCTTAGGCATTTTTCGCTCGGTTTTCTATATTACTAGATATGGAAAATGGGCGTAAAGAAATATATGGGTAAGACAGAAATGTATGTTGGATGGAATTATACCTCAATAGCTTAGCAACAGATAAAAAATGTTCAAAAGATAGATATCCACCTCAGGGGATCTGTGCAAGGATATACTGAAAGACTTAATTATTTTACTTATCCTGAGGAAACTTTTATTTTTTGTCAGTCCTGGCTCTTGAGGTTGGAGTCTAGGAGCTGTCCTTGAACTCTTTTTCAAGGTTAGCACTCTACCACTTTGAGACACAGCTCCACTTCCAGTTTTCTGGTGGTTAATTGGAGATAAGAGTCTCAGAGATTCTTCTGCCCAAATTGGCTTTGAAGTGCCATCCTTAGATTTCAGCCTCCTGCTTACAGTCATAAGCCACCAGTGCCTAGCCTGTGGAAACTCTTATATATGACCTAGGTAAAACTGGGTTCATGTTAGAAGCCAAAGTTTAGCAGATATATAGGAGCCCCCAAAGTTTAAATGTTTGAATGTGGTAGTATCATGCAACACACTCTTTGCAGTGGTAACAATATTCTACCTCAAACTCCTTTTTTTCTTTAGGGTTCTGTAGCTATTGCTGGTGCTGTTATTCGCTGGCTAAGAGACAATCTTGGAATCATTAAGAGCTCAGAGGAAATTGGTGAGTGTTGTTACAAAGGGCTAGAAAATCTGTGAACAGTGGAGAGGTTTTCATATTTTTATCGCTGCAATCTGTAAATGTTTATGCAATGCTATGAATGTGATCCATAAATAATGACCCTTGTTATATGTTTGACTTATACAAAAAAGAACTATTTGTAGCCAGGTGCTGGTGGCTCACACCTATAATCCTAGCTACTCAGGGCGCTGAGATCTGAGGATCACAGCTCAAAGCCAGCCTGGGCAGGAAAGTCCAGAGAATCTTACTTCCAACTAACCATTAGAAAACTGGAAGTGACACTGTGGCTCAAGTGGTAGAGTACTAGCCTTGACCTAAAGAGTGTAAGGACAGAGCCCAGGCCCAGGATTCAAGCCCCATGACCGACCAAAAACAAAACACTATTTTGTGGTGGCTCATTCCTGTGAATCCTAGCTACACAGGAGGGTGAGATCTGAGCATCCCAGTTCTAAGCCAGCCTGGCAGCAAAGTCTGTAAGACTCTTTATCTCCAATAAACTACTAAAATGTTAGAAATGTGGTTCATGTGGTAGAACACTAGCCTTGACCACAAAAGTTCAGGGACAGTGCCCAGGCCCTGAGTTCAAGCCCAGGACCAGCATGTGTGCACACATGTGCGTGTTCACTCGCGCGCGTGCACACACACACACACACACACACACACACACACAAAATGAAGATTTATTACACAATAAATTGGCATAATTAATGGTAATTATTAATAAATTGGTAATACAGGGCATAGAAATAAGCCAAGTACAAAATTGGAAATGAGATTGCCTGAATCTGTAGATTACATTTAATTGATGAGAGAGAGCTTTAAAATTAGAGAATATTAAAACTGTGGTACCTAAAATTTAAGTATTAATCTGACTGTATTCTGTCTATGGATAATTAATTTGAACTCACCTACTCATTCTTTCATCTACTTATTTAACATTCCCTGGAGATGGAGCAATCAGAAATATATTTTTGATCTGGCACATATGCACAAGAGACCACTTCATTTCTTAGTCAACAGCCTTATAAATTATGGAAATGAACTAAAATACTATAAGTAACTGAATGTATTACCTTAATTTCTTTGAGCTTGGTTATGTTTTAGGGGTGTTTGATGTAGAGGAAACTTCCTTGTTGCTTTGTTAGTGTATTACTCTAATTAGGAACATTTTACTATACTAATTTGGAAAAGAGTTATAATTAAGATATTGATGTGATTTCTTTATTTTTTTGTTATTAGAAAAACTTGCTAAAGAAGTTGGCACTTCTTATGGCTGCTACTTTGTTCCAGCATTTTCAGGATTGTATGCACCTTACTGGGAACCCAGTGCAAGAGGGTAAGTATGTATAGTTAATAGTATTTTATGGAATTTTTCAAAATAGCTAGAAGAGAGGATTCTAAATGTTCCCAATACAAAGAAATTGTAAGTGCTTCAAGTGGTAAATACACTGATTTGATTCTTAGATGTGATATATACATATGGAAATACCACATCATACCCCATAAATATGTACAGATATTATGTCTCAATTAAAAAGTGTATGATGGCACATTCCCACAATCCTAGCTACTCAGGAAGCTGAGATCTGAGAATCATGGTTTGAAACTAGCTCGCAAAAGAGACTCTGATTTCCAATTAATCATTAAAAAGCCGAAAGTGAAGATATGGCTCAAGTGGTAGAGTCCTAGCCTTGATTAAAAAAAAAAAAAAAAAAAAAGAGCTAAGGAGCCAGACAGCAGTGGCTCATGTCTGTAATCCTAGCTATTCAGGAAGCTGAGATCTGAGGATTAAGGTTCAAAGCCAGCCTGACCAAGAAAGTCTGTGAGATTCTTATCCCCAGTTTAGTCACAGAACAAACTGGAAGTGGCACTGTGGCTCAAGTAGTAGAGTGCTAGCCTTGAGCAAATGGAGCTCAAGGACAGCGCCCAGGACCAAAGTTCAAGCCTCAGGATTGGCTAAATAAGTAAGTAAATAAATAAATAAACTTAAAAAAGAACAATGAAAGAAGTAGTGTTAACAGTATGGTATACTTTTAGAAATCTATGGATTTCCTGAAGTAATCAGTCACTCATTGGTTAGTAGCTTCTTATCTATTTTCAAATGATTTTAAATTGCTAAGAAAACCTTTTGTGTTTAAAGACAGTAGTTTTAGAAACTGTACATTCTAAGAAGTTATAAATCAGCAGAAAGTGACCTCTAGCATATTTATGGCCATATTGCTATCCTTTGTCTGTACCATGCAAATGAATTCCAAGTTGGTTTTGTATTACTGTCATCTGTTCAAATGGACTGTGAACTTAGGTGAATGCAGGATTGTGGACTATTAGGATGGGATTTTCTGAATCATCTATACTTTTCTGTCTGTTAGATTAACAATTTCCATATTCCAGATATTTATACCACTCTAATCTGAAAATGTTTGTATGTAATTTTAGGATAATCTGTGGACTCACCCAGTTCACCAATAAATGTCACATTGCTTTTGCTGCCTTGGAAGCTGTTTGTTTCCAAACCCGAGAGGTAATGACTATAAGACAGTTTATTTACACTCAATTAACTTTTACCACCCCTACATTATATATTTAATGCTTGAAATTTTGTTAAATGCTGACAGTGAACTTACTTAAAACATGATGCCTATATAAATGCTCATCTAAATATACAAATATCCTTCCCACTTTCTAGCCCCTATTATCTGCCAGGCACTGGGTGTTGAATGGTTAGGAAGAGGGTGAGTGGCACATAGTAGGGCAAAGGAAACACAACAGACAGGCATCAAGGGAGGAAAGCAAGATGGAATTGTTTGGCTTACTGAAACTCAGGGAGCGTTTAGTGTTATAATGCCAGAAAAGGGTAGATATGATCAGATCAATTTAACTGTGGATGTTGGGGAAACGTTAGTGATTTTATATAAAACATTGCCATTTTTCAGAGATGTACTTTCATGATGCTAATTGCACTGGTTTATTTAAGATTTTGGATGCCATGAATCGTGACTGTGGAATTCCATTGAGCCATCTGCAGGTAGACGGAGGCATGACCAGCAACAAAATTCTTATGCAGCTTCAGGCAGATATTCTGTATATTCCAGTAGGTTAGTAAGCCTTTCGTTCCTTTGAACTCTGGAAATGTTTCTTTCAGAAGAAGCCATTCTTGAGGTATATGCAGTCACAGAATTGTTAACATAGCCTTCTCCCCTCAGTGAAGCCCTCTATGCCTGAAACAACTGCCCTAGGAGCTGCTATGGCAGCTGGCGCTGCAGAAGGAGTTGGTGTTTGGAGTCTCGAACCTGAGGATTTGTCAGCTGTCACAATGGAGCGGTTTGAACCACAGATCAATGAAGAGGGTACATTGCAACTTTTAATAGAATTCTGTGAAAATGACAGTATAAGGGAGTTTGCCTTTCTGCTTTTAAGTTAAAGCCCAACATAAAAGAGCAAATATTGGGACCATTTCAGATTTGGCTGCTAAACACTGGGTTATACTAAGTGTCAGTGAGAGAAATAAATACTTCCTTGTTTTTAAAAATCTGAAATTAGGCTGGGAAGGTGACTCAGTGCTAGAGTACTTGCCTTGCATGCATGAGGCCCTGGGTTCAATTCCTCAGCACCACATAAGCAAAAAAGAAAAAAGCCAGAAGTGGCGCTGTGGCTCAAGTGGTAGAGCACTAGCCTTGAGCTGAAGAGCTGAGGGACAGCGCCCAGGCCCAGAGTTCAGGCCCCACGACCAACAAACGAATAAGTAAATAAATAATCTGAAATGACCTGTTTAAGCCATTCACTTCTATACTGTTTAAGAGAGTTATTCTGCAACATTGCCAACTATACCTTGTTAAACTACTGGGTTTTTGTTGTTGTTGTTGTTGTTTTGAGAGGGGACTCCACTTCCAGCTTTTGATCTCACTGACTTTCCTGCCCTGGCTGGCTTCAAGAGCCCCAAATCTCAGCTTTCTATAAAGATAGGATTACAGGCCTGAGCCATTGAATTTGGCTTCCTAATTTTTTAGACACCTAGGCATAAAAGCATCAGAAGACTTTGAGCTATTGAAAAATGTAAGTTTTCAAACGCAGTTTTTGTTTTATTTCCTAGAAGACTAGGCCATTGTTTCCTAAAGTCATTCGGTCTTTTTCATATATGTGCGCAAATACATTATACTACTAATAATTGGAGTCAACAGCATCCCATATATCATGATATAGATTTGTGTTTCAAAATCTGGCATAGTCTCTGACTTTTTATATTTATCTTATCTATGTATTTTAAGACTGTTTTAGCATAAATTAGTTGTACAAGGGGATGTTTTCATTGTGACATTTCCATATAGGCATAATACATTTTTATATTTTGACAATACTGGATAAAATAAAAACAAATTTCCTACTTCCATGAGGCAAACCAAGTTTTTTGTGTGTGCTCATTCTAGGGTTTGAACTCGGGGTCTGGGCACTGTCCTTAAGCTTTTTTTGTTCAAGGCTAATGCTCTACCACTTGAGCCATAGCTCTCCTTCCAGCTTTTTGGTGGTTAATTGGAAATAAGAGTCTCACAAACTTTCCTTCACAGTCTTCAGATTTCTGCCTCTTGAGTCGCTAGGATTCTAGACAAGAGCCACCTGTGCCCAGCTTGTTTTGTTTTGTACCAGCACCAGGGCTTTAACTCATGGCCTCTTGCTCTCACTTGGCTTTTTCATAGCTGGCACTCATAGGCATGCCTCCAGTTTCACAAACCAATTTTGTAATGGACAAGTCATGTTCAGAGTAGGTTCTTTAGCCAGTTTTTAAAGCAAGGACATGTAGTGTAAAGGTTTTGGATTTTTTGCCAGTCAGTCATGGGGCTTGAAATCAGGGCCTGGGCACTGTCCCTGAGCTTTTTTGCTTAAGGCTAGCACTCTACCACTTGAACCACAGTGCTACTTCCTTGGATTTTTTAAAATGTTTACTGAGGAGAACTATCTTTGCCATGGCTGAAGGTCGTCAACTGAAGATGGTCAATTAATGTTGGCTGTCATGATTTTTTTCGCCAGTCCCTTCCCACTCTTTCACCACACCAATAGGTACCTGGATAGATTTCATTCTTTCAGCTAATAATTTGTTTAGAGCTAATTATAGGCCAGAGATTGTAACTGACACAGGGTTACAGGCATGCATAAGACGAAATCCTTGCCCTTCTGGAGACTCAAATATATTGGGAGAAGTAGACAAAATCATAAAAGTTCACTATAGAAGGTAGCAACATCCTGCGATTTGTGTGAAGTACTGTGGGAAGAGGGAGGGAGAGCTAGAAATGGGATGTTGAAAACTTCTTGAGTTGAATGATCCATGAACCTATGGAGAAATATGAGAAAAGGGTAGCCCTGTGTATGGTTCAATAGCAATAGGAGGAATAACTTTTATCACTGCTTTTTTTTTGGTTAGTCTTCATGCTGAATTTTTTTTTCTTTTCCATTGTGTGCTAGTGCTGAGGCTTGAACACAGGGTCTGGGTGCTGATTCTTAGCTTTTTTGCTCAAGGCTGATCCTCTACCACTTGAACCACACCTCTACTTCTGGTTATCTGATCAGCAGAGTCTCATGGACTTTCCTTGACTCATGGACTTTTCCTTGGCTTTGAGCCATGATCCTCAGATCTCAGCTTCCTAAGTAGCTAGGATTACAGACAATAGCCACCAGTGCCCTACTAAAATTTCTTACACCTAAGGAAATCCTACTTTAAAAAATAAGAGATGCCTCACAGAAATGTAGTGAGAAGTCAGTATTTGCTAAACCTTTTGAGTGGATACCAAGATTAATTCACTTTATAGTTTTTCTACAGTATAGCATGCCCCTTTCCTCATGTCAAATCTCCTGACTCCCTTTCAAAATCAGACCAAGCAAATCAAATGGGAATCCCTTTTTAGCTCATCAGCACTTGCTTGTGATTTTGCCCTGTCTCATAGGAAGTAGTCTGTCTCAATCTCTCTTTACCAGTTCCATGCTGAACCGACAGTCCCATGCTGAACTTGGTCTCACACCTCCCTCCAACTTTCAAGCAAGCATCTCTACCAGGCCCTGCTAGTCACCAGCAGCCATGTGCTTCCAGACCTGAGTTTCAGTAAAGTGCTATCATTAAGAGCACAGTAATGGGCCGGAGATGGCTGGTGGCTCATGCCTACCTACTCAGGAGGCTGAGATCTAAGAATTGCAATTCAAAGCCAGCCCAGGCAAAAAAGTCTGTGAGACTCTTAACCTTCAATTAACCACCAGAAAACTGGAAGTGGCACTGTGGCTCCAAGTGGTAGAGTGCTAACCTTGAGCACAAATTGCTCATATGTACAAAGAGCTCAGGGATAGCACCCACGCCCTGAGTTCAAGTCCCACAATGACAAAAAACTGCTGAGTAATGATAAGTATGATACTTAGAACATCTTGGCCAACCTCCTCATCTATTTTTTCTAACTTCTAATTCTAGAAAGTGAAATTCGTTACTCTACATGGAAGAAAGCTGTGATGAAGTCAATCGGTTGGGTTACAACTCAATCTCCAGAAAGTGGTAAAAATGTTTTTTTATTGGTTATTATTGCCATTTTTCCTAGTATATGAAATAGTTAGATAAACTGGCATTTATACTTAGCCAGGCTGTTCAGAAGCAAATATTTATCCCTTGTCCAAAGTTTCTAAAGTTCTAAACATAAAATGAAAATTAGCAAATTAAATACACATACTTTGACTCTATCACAAAATTATCTTTGCTTTATTGATTGATTCCTGGCACTTCATTTGATAACTGAATTTTCCAAAAGAAAAATTATTTCTAGTTTCTTTACAATGAAAAAAATCAACTAGAATCTTTTTTTTCCTTTGCTCTTCATATGTTACCTTTTTGGGAGGCTACATTTATGACCTGAATAAATCAAAAGCTCTATTAATTCTAGAATGTATTTTTGTTACTTCCTAGTCGGGGTCTAGGTACTCTGAGAGTGCACATATTGGTTATTCCCTTGGAATTAGAGAAGGAATATACCAAACACAGTAGATCAGAAGTAGAATAAAAGATTATGATACTATTTTACACAAAAAGGAGGAAATTTTATTTTTCAATCATTTAGGCCAGAAGATATTTAACTTAAGTAAAGTTTAAGCATCCTTAAGATCCTTATAAGTGGCATAAATTAATATTTTTTGCTTAATCAAAGATTTGGAACACAATGAATGGTACAATGGCCAATAACATTGAAATATGTCCTAATGGATGAATGTTTCTAAATGATATATTTTCTGGCTTCCAACTCCAAAGTGAGTATAGAACCACTTTTTTTGCGTGCCCATTCTGAGACTTGAACTCAGCGCCTGAGTTTTATTCCTTAGTTTTTGTGCCCAAGACTAATGTTCTGCCACTTGAGCCATAGTTCTACTTCTGGTTTTTTGGTGATTAATCAGAGATAAGAGTCTCACAGACTTTTCTGCTCGGGCTGGCTTTAAACTATTATCCTTAGATCTCAGCTTCCTGAGTTGCTAGGATTCCAGGATGAGCCACCAGTTTCCAGCTCTTAGTCTAGATTTGTTTTTAAAAAGTTAATCATAATAGATGACTCAAAACCCACCAAATCAACATTTTGAAAATTGATTTAAATGCAGTAGAGAGTTATCAAATAATTATAGAGTACATATAATGTATATTATGCATATATATTACATGTGATGTGTATTTATAAAACTGGAAAAAATAGCTTCATTAAATTGATAAACTAATAAGAGATCCTGAATGTAGATAATCCTCAGATCTTTTCAAACCAGAAGTCATGATAGGGACATCAAAAATAGGGCTGGGAAGTTGGCTCAGTGGTAGAGCGCTTGCCTTGCATGCCTGAGGCCCTGGGTTCAATTCCTCAGCACCACATAAGCAAAAAGAAAAAAGCCGGAAGTGGCGCTGTGGCTCAAGTGGTAGAGTGCTAGCCTTGAGCTGAAGAGCTGAGGGACAGCGCCCAGGCCCAGAGTTCAGGCCCCACGACCGGACCCAAGAAAAAAAAATAGTTATTCTAATTTATAGCTGATGGCTTCCTCTCAGATACCCAGGACATTGATTCCTCTTTTCTCAAGTATTATCTCTACAAATAGGGTAAAAAGAAAACCTTGATTTTTTTTGTACCAGTCCTGGGGCTTCAACTCAGGGCTTGGGAGCTATTCCTACACTTTTTGTTTTGCTTAAGTCTAGTGCTCTACCACTTGAGCTACAGCTATACTTTCAGCTTTTCGTGGTAAATTTGTTATAGGATTACAGGCATCAGCACTGGTGCCAGGCTAACATCCCTCTTTTGTAATGGTTCGTTTTTTGGCTATGGTAGGATTCTTTTTAATTTTATTATTAAACTAGTTGTACAACCATTACAATTCATATGAGTACAGTGCATCTTGATCAGTGTCACTCCTTTCATCATTCTCTCCCATTTCCCACCTCCTATCCCTAACCTCAAATTATACAGTTCAGGTTTTGTTTTTTTGCTGGTCCTGGAGCTTGAACTCAGGGTCTGGGCTCTGTCTCTGAGCCTCTCTGTGCTCAAGGCTAGCAGTCTACCTTTTGAACCATAGCACCACTTCTGGCTTTTTCTGTTTATGTGTTACTGAGGAATCAAACTCAGGGCTTCATGCATGCTAGGCAAGCCACAATCACAGCCCAAGATAACATTTCTTTTTTGCCAGTCCTGGGGCTTGAAATCAGGGCCTGGGCACCGTCCCTGAGCTTCTTTTGCTCAAGGCTAGCACTCTCCTACTTGAGCCACTGTGCCACTTCCAGCTTTTTCTGTTTATGTGGTACTGAGGAATCAAACCCAGGGCTTCATGCATGCTAGGCAGGCATTCTATCACTGAGCCATTCCCAGCCCAAGATAACATTTCTTATATGAGCATTTGGGTATGATTAATTTTTAAGTGACTAATCATGATGAGCAAGTGTGCAATTGATTGAAGCCTTACTGAGCTCATTTTTATTAGCTTACCTTAGTTGTACAAGGCAATTTTCACAGTGACATTTCAATGCATATGTATGATATCCCTATCAACCCCATTTCCTTCATCACTCAAGTTGTGTGCCAGTAGCTCATGCCTGTAATCCTAGCTACTCAGCAAGCTGCTATCTGAGCATGGCAGTTCAATCTAGCCTGGAAAGGGAAAGGCTGTGAGACTCTTCTAACTACCAAAAAAAAAGCTAGAAGTGGAGCTGTGGTTCAGGTGATAGAATGCTAGCCTTGAGCAAAAATGTGGACAGATCCCAGGCTCTGAGTTCAAGCCCTAGAACAGGAGCACACACACAAAAATCACATTTTTATTAGGTTTAATAGTTTTATTTTCATAAACTCATATATATATATATAAATACATAGATATATAAAGTACTTCAATCACACCTACTCTGTTCCCCCTCTCACAGATACCCACTCCCCAAGAGAAATTGTTTTACTCTCCTGTCATTCATTTTTAGTGTATATTAATTGCACTGAAGGATTTTACCATGGTACTTCACACGTGCATATATTTTATGTTAATCAGAATAACCCCCTCTATTGCTTTGTCTTCACTGTCCCCCAGGTCTCTATTGCTTGATAACTTTCAGTGAGATTCTGTAGGTCACGTATCCAGACGATTGATCAATCGATAGATCAATCGATAGATAGATATAGATATAGATATATTCAATCATGGGGCTTGAACTCTGGGCCTGTGCACTGTCCTTGAGCTCTTCAGCTCAAGGCAAGCACTCTACCACTTGAGCCATAGTTCTACTTCTGCTTTTCTGGTGGTTTATTGGAGATAAGAGTCTCACAGACTTTCCTGCCCAGGCTGGCTTTGAACTGCGATCTTCACATCTCAGCCTCATAAGTAGCTAGGATTACAGGTGTGAGCTACTGGCGCCTGACTCAAATTGTATTTTTTAAAGTAAGTATTTTTTAAAGTAAAGCTAATTAATGGTTTTGGTTAAATAGGGTTTCAAATTCATGTCCAGTGGGCTAATAAAATTTTTCTTTGGTAACCAAATGCCCTACTTGAATTTGGGGTGAATTTTGGGTAGCTATTTTGGGGGACAAAAGTCTAGAGAGCCCAAACAACAGCCTCCCAAAAAGTTCTCCATAGTCTCTTTTTGTTTTAGCCAGTGGAAGGCTAATATTGGTCTATATGTATTATGTTCTTGACTATTTGTGGCATGCTTTCTGTATTGTTAACATTCATAAACCTTGATATTGATTATATTTTTGATTTGAAGTAATAACTCTTTGCTAGCTTTTATGAATATGCTATTTTATAACTGATTTTGTTTTGCTATCATGTGATTCTTAACATAAATATTATAATTATGTGTCTCTCTTTTGGTTTGCTTGACTGGAATTCCCTCCTACTTGGATGACCACAGGTGACCCTAGTATCTTCTGTAGTCTACCCTTGGGCTTTTTTATAGTGAGTAGCATGGTAATGTTAATCGGAGCAAGGTACATCTCAGGTTAGTTACTCTTTAAATTAGACAATTTTTACTAGTTAGCTTTTAATGTATTGTTGTAACCCAAGAAAGTTTTCAGTGTTTTTCATTCTTCCTGTTTAGGAACCTGGAAAATCAGTTAAAGCTGTAATTCTATGAGTTATCCATTTATCTTTCGGGACAGATTGAAAGAAGCATTGTGACTTGGCTTAAACTTTTCTTATATTTAGTAGATGATTTCTTTTGGAGTTATATTCTGTCAGCTGCAGTAATATGCAAAAAACAGAAAAGACAAATGTTAATGCTTAAATGAAAGGACTTTCCTAGTGAGTGATAAAAGTGAAAGTGTAATTTTAACATCAATTATGGTGTTTTATGGTGTTCAAATATATGTAAATTGCTGTATTTTTTGAAATTTTTGTAATCTAGTTGAAATAGTTTTATTCTGGAAAATGTTTCAGCCTGTAACACTGTAAAACTTGGGATGATTTAGTTATTTAAGTGAGATGAAATCTTTAAGTTATTGCTTAAATAAATTGCAATAAAAACAGAATTATTATATTTGCATATTAGCCTCTATTGAAAATGGCTCTTCGAATCATGAAATATATGACATAATCGCTTATAAATATAGTAGCCATTGATGATAGGTTAACTTCTCTTCATATTACTAGCTTAAGTTGAAATGATTTATGTCTTGTTCCATTTGTTTCCATGAAAGTGAAACTTGTTTTTTTAAGTTTTCATGATTTACAGAAAGAGTTAACTAATATGACTTATTTAATAAGATAACTGACTTGGATTTAAAATGTAATACTTAAACTTCATTGAAATGAGAGGGAACATCTGTTTGTAGAATTCTAACAAGCATTTATTTAACTTGGTTTATCAGTTCAGTGCTATATATAAATATGAAATGAAAATTATGTCAGCAGAACATTAAATTATCTTAAGTAAAGAATAATTGTGAGTTACTTGCATGAGAATTGAAAACTAGATTATATTAACTTTGTCTCCATTCTTCACGTCCAGACATACTCAGGATAGATTCATTTCTAATCATATACTTCTGTGCTAGCAATACCTTATTTTGGTATTAGTGTCAATATGCTAAGGATTTCTATACTCTGATCTGTATGGAATTAGCAGATGTCTTCTTTCTGTTTCTCAAGAATGTTGGATAGAAGACTAACCATTCCCATGAGAACTGAAATTTGAATTTATAAATATATATGTGTGTATGTATATATATACATATATATACACTGTTTTGTAAAATGGTCTATTACATTTTCATTATCCTGAATATTTCTGCTTGCCTAATGATGGTCTAAGAAGTAAGAAAGCTGAAAGTTTCTCATTGACTTTGTTGCTGTGGTTACTTCCTTTTTGCTACTGTGATAACCAGGAAAGTCCCCCATCTCTGTGCAAATGGAGACATGTAGCACCTCTCTAAGCTAAAAGAGATGTTAAATAGCCAGATTATAAGGCTTCTAAAATGCATGGTCACTGTGTTTAGGCATTTTCTTTGGTGATCTATGGTGAGATCCAAGAACAGGGAGAATTGTTTGCCTTGGCAAACAATTAGCAACAGTGGTATTATTGGCTAATTTTTTAATTGCTCTCATGATTTATTGCATCCTAACTGTGAGGCATTATTTAAAAATCATGGACTTTCTAGCTAATCAATTACTGAATAACCTTCATTGCTTGAGCTCATGAATTTCATGTATGTCTTATTGACTTATATGGTTTTTGTCCCCCATTTTAGGTCTCCCATAAATAAGGCCACCTCCTGTATTCCCAAGATGCAAGCTTTTGACCTAATGAGAGAATGCAACAATTCTATCTCTTGATATGATCACACTATTCACACACTCCGATTTGATTTCTAAGCCACTAGCTGCATGATTCTCCAAGGAGACCTGTGGCTTGAAATAAAGAAAATGCAGCAGAACAAATGCCACAGAAACATTCAGTGTATTTTTTAACATGGACAACTAAGTTGGGCCAGCCACCTTGGCGGCTGACTCCTCCATGGTAATAATGTCCTACCCCACTCCCTGTAAGATCAAGGAAGAATTCATATCCTGTCCATTGGAGCCTTGCATCAAGCATGTTCAGATGCTAAGGGACCAGGATTTGATTCACTGCACTACATATGCCTGATGAAGGGACTATTACTAACCTGCTAATGATGAGTTGCTTTTCATTTGTTTTTAACAGATCCCTAAAAGTCTCTTTCACATATTAGAAGATCCGAATATCTTAACTGTTGAGCTGGAAACTTGCAGTAAATTATTAAGATGAGAATTTAGGCCACGGGCACTGGGAGCTCACACCTGTAATCCTAACAATGCAAGGAGTTTGAAATTTGAGGATCAAGGTTAGAAATCATTGGGGGCAGACAAATCCCAAATCAGTGACACTCTTATCTCCAAGTAACCAGCAAAGAGGAGCTGGAAGTGGAAGTGTGGCTTAAAGAGGGAACATACCAGTCTTGGGTGAAAAAGCTAAGTGAGAATGAAAGGCCCTTCACACACACACACACACACACACACACACACACACACACACACACACACACACACACACACACACACACACACACACACACACACACACACACACACACACACACACACGAGAATTTATGATTCTCATAACTTGGATATTTTTCTGAAAACGTAGTTGCCAAAAGTGAAATTGATCCTTTAGACATTTTAAATTGCACAACTAATTATCATTACTTTCTGTCTAGATCTTATAGGGAAGCACACTTCTTTATTCTTTTCCATTTCTCCTTTTTATATTTTTTACTTTGGATGTATAACATACACAACTATATATTTTATATACTGAGAGTAGCCCATTTATAAATCAAGAGCACATTATATTTAGTAGGTTATAACAGGGCTGGTCTAAAGTGGACTACTACTATGTATATAAATATTTGGGGAAAAACAGCTGTATACATTTTTGGGCAACGGTTGTGCATATTAGTAACCAGGATAAATTTTTGTTAAAAAGCTAACATTTAAACTTTATGTATCTGTTCTATGTCAATAAAAGCAAATGTACTTTATTATGATTTCTACTATATTCCTTACACTTTTGGCTTTTATTAAATTGTCTTAGCTGCTTGTATGCTTTAAAAAGAAAAATACTGAGGAATACTATAGTCAAATTTATCTTCAAACATGAGTACTAGTCCAAACATAAATTTTCCTTTGGATTTTTTTTTCCATATTTGAGATTCTTTGACAGACTTGGGAATGTAAAAAAGTTAAAAAGCTAAGTAGAAAAAAAATAGAAATAAAGCCATGATTATCTTTTAATCTAAATATTATTGTTAACAAATGGTATTTTTTAATCTGTGATAATAGAGGTTTGCTATTAGAAATGCCTTCCAGTGAAACCAAGAGTTTCACAAAATATGTTATATGTTATAGGTTCACCTAATCTAGCACCTTAACATCAATTTATAAAGTACATGAAAACAAATTTGTTATATAATAGGCAAATAAAATATTGCTTCCTAATTATTTTTTTCTATCAATGCTGAATAACAAAATATTTATATGTTAATAGAAAAAGGTTTGTTTTGTTGGGAATTAATGGTAGGTTACATTTTACTGTTCTGTTTGTATTCTTTCTAAATTATTGAATTTGCTGGGATTTATTGATATAGCTGCCACTCGAGTGACATAAATGTAGAAAGGTACTGTGAAAATATCACTTTGTGGCAGGGATGCTTTTAAATATAGTTATGTTTCTACAGAGATAAGATGAGTTAATTGTAAATAATTGTGCAAATCACTGTTCAGATAAATTTACAATTAATTTTTCTATAAATTGGAAGATTTATAAATGTTTGGAATTGTACACATTGATATTTAATGATAAATTTACTTAAAATAAATTGACCTCTTATTTTTATTTGCATTTCTCATTTACAGACTAGAACTTAGATCAAAATTTAATTACCAAACACGTTTCAGCAAACATGAAAGTCAGCTTCTAACACTTGAGCAGGCACACTGAAGAATTAGCTAACAGCTGAAGAAGTGGCTTCTGGAATAATGATTCAGTTAGAACAGATTAAACATTTCCAGAAAAGTCTGGTGCAATCAACAGCCATTATCAGAAGACTCTCATCTGGCTTACCTTCTGGTTTCATTCTGTGCTTCAGCTTCTCTCCTCCTGGATTTAGTCAATGGCGTTTAGTCCACCATTGTTTGCTCAGTTTGACAGCTAACATATCAATCTTTTGTTTTCTAACTAATCAGTAAAATAAATAATGTATATTTGCTTCTTTAATGGTATCTTAGAAGGTTTTTAAAAGTGTGCGCTTGTGCGCATGCGCGCACGTGCCGCATGTGTGCACGCACGTGCCGCGTGTACCTGCCATGGGGCTTAAATTCAGGCCGGGGAGCTGTCCCTGAGCCTTTTTTTAATGATCAAGGCTAATGCTCCATGGCTGATCCCAAAAAAACCAAACGTAAAAGGCCCTGAGTTCAAGACCCATGATTGTAACTCATGGGTCTTGAACTCAGGGCCTAAGCGCTGTCACTAAGCTTTACAAGGATAGTGTATTACCAGCTTGAGCCACAGCGCCGCTTCTGATCTGCCAGCGCAAAGATGGCTATAAGAATTTCACTGAGCCGGGCGCCATTCAAAGCCGGACTGGGCACGGAAGTCTGGGAGACTCTTATCTCCAGTTAACCACGAGAAAACCGGAAGTGGCACTGTGGCTCAGTTGGCAGAGCGCTCGTCTTGAGCTGAAGAGTTGAGGGACGGTGCCCAGGTCCAGAGTTCAAGCCCCACAACCACCAAAAAAGAAAACAAGAATATCCGGTGGTTAATTGGGGATAAGAGTCTCATGGACTTGCCTTGGCTGCCTTTGAGCGGGAGGATAACAGGCGTGAGCCACCGCCACCCGAACTGCAGAGCTAACATTTTTTAAACTCCAATTCTGAAGTTCTTGTACTTGAATGTCCATACCAGTATTATGCATAGCTGCTTATGAACTCCTAGGAATGGAAACAAGAGCTTTTTTGTTTTACTTTTTGTGTTTTTTTTCTCTTTCTGTTTTTTTTTCCCATTTGTTGCTGTTTTTGATTTCTGTACCTTTTGTGTGTAAGTTTATCTGACTTGGGAAAGGGAAGGGGAAGCACAGAAACAGTGGGACAAAGGGTGAACCAATTCAGCAGTGACACTCACTAGACACTATGTCAAAATGAACTACACAACTTGTGGGGGGAAGGGAGTCAGGAGGAAAAACTGGGAGCAAATGAAGAGGTGACACTGTTCAAAAAGAAATGTTCTCAGTACCTGACTTACGTAGCTGTAACCCCTCTGTGCATCACCTTTACAGTAAAAATTTTGAAGCAAAACAATGTGAAAAACATTACAGCCAGCAAGAGGAAACAACCCAAATAGCTATTGGTGAGTGGAAACCCCTAAGTTGTTTATCCATTCAAGGAAGTATTATGCAGTTATAAAAACGAGAAAAGGGAAAAGGAAAAGAAAAAATGAAGTACTGATACGCTGCAACATGGATTAACTTTGAAAATATTATACAAAGTGAAAGAAGCCTTGCACAAAGTGCCATATGCTGTTTGATTCTGATTCTATGAAATGTCCATAAAACAAGAAATCGTTTCTTGGTGACCAGAACCTGGAGGAGTGAGAACTAGGAAATGACTGTCAAGAGGCATAGGTGTTCAGGACTTTTCTGAAATTAGACATGATAGTTACACAACTTTAAATATACCAAAAAGCGCTGACATGGGCATATGAATTATGTCAATATAAATGTACGTTAGGGCCAGAGGCTGGTGGCTCACTCTTATAATCCTAGCTACTCAGGAGGCTGAGATCTAAGGACCGCAGGTCCAAGCCAGCCCGGGCAGGAAAGTCTATGAGACTTTTTTTTTTTTTATGAGACTCTTATCTCCAATAAACCACCAGAAAACTGGAGGTGGTGCTGTGGCTCAAGTGACAGACTGTTAGTCTTGAGCACAAAGAGGCTCAGGAACAGAACCCAGGTCCTGAGTTCAAACCCCAGAACCGCTCCCCCTCCCCCGCCCCATACACACACCTAATTTAAAATTTCAAAGGCTGTGAGCTAGTGAGCCAAAAGCCAGATTTATCTCCACAGGCTTGTTCAAAACAAAATTGTTGTTTTGAATTTGCTTTTATGAAAAATAAGCATAAATGTTTAGTCCCTTATGACCTGTGAGTTTGTGAACCCTGAAATGAGTTTTATTTACTTCATGAAAAGCAAAAGTCAGTAAATTAAACCTTTTCAGGGTAATGCTCTGTTGGTAGAGAGGTTTTTTTAAAAAATGTTTTTATTATAAAGGTGAAATACAGAAGGGTTACAGTTACATAGGTAAAAAGTACATTTTTTTGGACAATGTCACTCCTTTCCTCCCAGTTTTTCCCTCCCATCTGTACCCACAAGTTATATAGTCCATTTTCAACATAGTGTCTAGTAAGTGCCACTATATTGTTCACCTTTTGTCCCTCCACTTCTGTGCCCCCTATCCTCCCAAAGACAGATAAACAAGATAAAGGAAAGTAAACAACAGCAATGAGGAAAACACCTTATTTCCATTTCCTGGAGTTCATTTTGATAAATATTATTTTATAAGATCAGATGCACATAGGCATTTTTATTTTCTTTTGTGCTAGTACTGGGGCTTGGCCTTGGGACCTGCGTACTGTCCCTGGCTTAGGGTGAGTACTCTACTGCATGATCCACATCTCCACTTTTTACTGATTAATTGAAGGTAAGAGTCTCATGGACTTTTCCTGCCTGGGCTGGCTTCAAACCTGCATCATCAGATCTCAGCCTCCTGAGTAAGTAACTATATAGGCATGAGCCACGGGCACCTGGTAGGTTTCAAGAGTTAACCTCAGGAATACGAAAAATACTTTAGTCACTAAAGCACAAAGGATTGTGATGAAGCAAAGCTGTCCCATCTGTCCACCTTCCAGGGGGTTTATGGTCTGACACTAAAGGATGTAGCTCACTGGTCTCCATCTCATACCACTACC